GTGCATGGACTGCGCCAGATAAGGTTGAAGAAGCGAAAGATGAACGAACGCGAAAGAAGAGCGCTGAAACAAGGACGAAATAAGCAAAACAAAAAAGAAGAAAAAAAGGAATGAGAGAAACTGAAAGCGATGCCAACAATAAATAAAACCAGCACGAAAACACGGGAAGGGGAGTGTAGGCAAATTCCGCGCGAGATTTGGGTTCCAGATCGTAGAAGTTCCGGCGTCCATCTTCGCGTTTTCCGCCGCGGTTCGGCGCCGTCTTAACTTACCAATGCCGGCGAACGTGGGGGACGCTTTTTTTTTTGTATTTTCGGTCCGAGTGGAAAGTACTTCTGCAGAACGAGTCACTGAACGGAGATGTTCGATCTGGCGGGCGGCGTGCGAACTGAACGCCAGGGCTGGGATCAACGTCCGCGCGGAATGATGCGCATACGTGAACCACCACTAACGTCAATAGATGCACGGGTGATTTACCTAACCTAATTAGTAGGCAGGTAAACGGAAGGACGCTGCTCCTGGCATACAGCGCAGTGAAGGAGGGTGAGAACGTTGAGGTTTACAGGCGGATTTGGCCCTATGACTGAGATATGCTGTCTCGCGGTTTGGAAAACTAGGCAGTCATGAACGCATAGACCACATCTGGAAGCGGATCAGGGAACCACACACGTCCGGTCTTTGTTCGCTTTTCGAACGTTCACTTCTCGCTCACGCGATTTGCCGCTGTAGGTTGGTCGGTGACGACGTCTGCGTTTCGGCCAACAGCGCCCGAGACAGAACATGCGTGTTTGGCGCATCGTCAAAGAAGGTTCCCACAGGGGAGGTTGGACCGAGCCGGCAAACAAACAAACGCGGCAGAACAACAATGCGAAGGAACAGTGGACGGAAGCAGTAAACATCGACGGTAAACCAGTACGACGCCTTTTCGTGCCCCCCCCCCCTTCCTTTCGTGCGCAGTGGGAATCCAAATAATCACGCCTTTACATCGCACCCACTCGCAACACTGTGTTACTCAGAATACCCCACGGATTTTCATATACAGTCCGGTAATAGGCAGTGGAACGTGTATGGAGTTGCGGTAGCTGAGTCGGAAGTCCGGGGACGCTTCGCTGGGTTGTGCCCGGCTAGTGCATTTGCAATGACCGTTTACGCTAACGTGTTCATCGGGACGGCGCGACCAGGGGGCGCAACTGAAGGTTACTTCCCTCCTTGCATTTGAACATCCACCGCCGCGAGGCTATATGTATAACGTCTGTGCGTGTTTGCGATCTCGTTTGCTAGATGAAGATCACACGTCTTGTGCGGTGTTCCTGATCGGAGGGTCATTGCTTTCTAAGGAGACGCCGACAAAGCTAAACGGGTCTATTTTATTACACTCCAGTCGTACACACCGTGCTACATCGAAAAAATAGCGCCATCTTCATCGGCACCATCTCATGATCCCTGTAATGTTTCGATACGCTGCTGGCCAAGTATTATCTCCAGAGACGCTTATCAATACCGTCGGCGTAACGTCAACAGACTCCTCGAATTGGGAGACCACCCCGAAGGCGAAAGTGTACATGTCTGGACGTTGTGAAGAAGTTGGAGGGAGGGCGAGGAGTCTGAAGGAAGACGATAGATATGAGAGTGTCTAGAATAAAGAAGATAACTGGCACCATAGCCTAGACCAACTGCGTATGATTACGAATTGGCGCATCCGCATGCTTTCTGTGTGGACATCCAACTCTATAGATGTAGTAATAACCGACGAAAGGTGTTTGTCCTCTCTCTTATTCGCCCTGTGCCTGGGAATATACTATACTTACCATAGTTTTTTTTTCTTTTTTTTTTACTGAATGCCGGATTAGGATGCATGGCAGTTAGCCTATAGCATGCCCCACCAAGGTACACGTATGGTGAATTGAATGACCCAAACAGCCCGCGGCAGACACTTTCTTATCTCATCGTCTCGTCTGGTCCACTTCCGTTCTTGCACTACCCTAACCGACGCTTACGTGACTTCGTTGCTATTCTCAGCTACCAAACTGGTCGCGGTTGCGAACACACCAAAAACAACTTGAACAAACAAGCGGGTAACAACAGCCAGCGTCTGTTTTCGCTGAGCCCTTTCTTATACGCCCCACTAACAACGTACCGCTCGGAAATATATAAACAGTATCAGGAAAGGAATAACATTGCAGGCTTTGGGGCTCACGCTGTCACCAGGCAATAATCTTCATCAATCTTGCATCTATTTTCACTTTCATTACCACTGCTATGTTATAAAACAAAGTAGAATAATTATGGTATTTTATAACACTCGTTGTTGGGTTAGTTGGTGCATTGCTTGAAAAAAAATTCCAGTTAAAAAAAATTGCCCGCAGCTTCCCTCGGGGGAACACTGAGGAGGATGCGGAGCATATAATTGGTTAACGGGGTGTTAAAGTGCGACTTACTTGGGTCGATGGCTAAATTGGTTAACGTGGTTGTGAAATGGGCTGTTAAATTGCGACTTACTTGGGTCGATGGCTAAATTGGTTAACGTGGTTGTAGGAGGGGGTGTTAAATGAGTGAACACGTACACAAGTATGCGAAAGGGCGGCGCTGGTCGAAGGGACGTCTATCATTGTGTTTGTGGATTCGTTGGAATTCATTTCACCGCGACCTTGGACGTCGACGCGCCGTACAAACCAGCCGACGAGCGGCAACTGAGCGAGCGAGCGCCGACCTTGAGTATATATACAGCGCGACGGCGCATGCACTGTCAGCTGTCGAATGTTCGAGAAGGGGGAGAAGCGCAACGGCGCATGCGCGCGCGTCAGCTGCCGATGTTCTCGAAGCGTGACGGCGCATGCGCGCTACATTATACAGCTAGCGAATGTTCGTGAAGAGGAGAAGCGCACGCGGTGTGTAGAGGAGGAAGGGTGCACAGATGGTGGAGGAGTGAAGCGCGCGCGGCGTGTAGAGGAGGAAGGGATGCACAGATGGTGGAAGAAGGAGGAGGAAGCTTGCGGACGGCGCCGCACTACAAGCCTCGAGTATTAGATGCTCCGCATCTAATAATGAACACCGGAAACGAAACAAGAGGCAGGAAAGCGACTAGTTCCTGTCTGGGACATTACGACCCAAAACCACGGTATTTAAGACAACGCGTCCTCCTCTTCTGCACCCTCTAGGTGAGCGGCACATAACGATATTGTCACGTAAGAGTGAGGGTAGCCCGAAAACAGGAGACCGGGAGGTTAGTCGAAATAGAAGGAGATCCGTTTATTTGGCGGACTTGCGCCCACTAAAGGAAAAACAGACGCGCCGGCTTAGCGGGTGGCGAACAGCGCGTTCGACGGCCGTCGGGGAACAGAATGTCCCACTGGAACGCAAGGCGCGTTCACCATCCGAGATACAGTCGCCGTAGCGTCTGGCGCTACGGCGACTCCTCGCGGCAATATGCTTATGAGAGACGCCGTACCAGAGGGCTCTGAAATTTCGACCATCCGGTGTTTTTCAACGGGCGCTGACATTGCACAGTACATGGTCTTCTAGCATTTTTCGCCTCAAATTGAAATGCGACCGCCGCATCCGGGATCGAGCTCGCGACCTGCGGATTAGCAGCCGAACACCAAGACCACTGCTCCAACGGGACGGCAGCTAACATTACAGCAATTGCTTGTTGAACGCTAGCCCACAACAAATAGCGACATCGTCTAGTGCTAACAACTGCGGTTATATGCGAGTAAGCATGGCAGCCGAAGTACCGAGGATCAATGAGATGACCTGTTGTGAGACATAGCTGCCTTCGACATCAACCAGTATTTTCGGCCGGAAATTATGGCACGTCGCGCCCCGTTTGGGAAAGTCGGTAAAAGAGGACAAAAAAGACGTTGCTTCAATAAAAATGGCATTTCTATAAAAGTAGATTTCCATCTCGCGGTCCCCGTTCGGCCTTTGGAAGGATGACTGCTACACACAGTAACATGCATAGACCGCTTCACCATATATTGTCCCCAGAAGGAACACCCTCCTCTGCCTACTCGGCGCTCACAGTTGAAGGCACTCTCCTGCCTTCATTGACTTGCTATAAATTCCGCCGCCCTCCCAAATTGTCGCCGATCGCAGTCGACAGTTAGCAATTTTCAATGATCATGGGGACACAATGATACTGAAGAACACGTGTCTCTCAACCTTGTGTTCCCTTTAACGAGAAAGAGCTACTAGAAGGCGAAAGTCATTTTCTTCTTCTTAGTCGGTGTACTCTTTCCCTTCCCCTTCCTCCTCTGAAAGATTTCTGTGGCTAACATGGTCTTGCACTGCTTCCAGGACCAGAGTCAATAAATGTTTTTGGCACCCCACCTGGTCTTACACTGCCACAGTACTGGGATAACCGTAAGATCAACAGGTGAAGTGCCTCAGACCAGACTGGCTGGCCGACGTTTCGATAGGAGGACCTATCGCCTTGAAAAAGATAGGTCCTCCTATCGAAACGTCGTCCAGCCAGTCTGAGGCACTTCACCTGTTCATCTCATGATTATCCCACTACGTTGTTTTCATCTGTAGCCTCCCATCAATATTTTGGATTTTCACTGCCGCGGTATGGTATGATAAACTTTATTTGGCCGAACAGGATCTGATAAATCAGACCGAAGTGGGCCGCTCGCACTTCGGGATGGCAAGGCCGCGACTTCACAAGCTCTTCGGACTGCCCTCGGTGATCCGCTAGGTGGCCCACTTTCGACCAAGCGTCGATATAATGTGATGGTGTAATCACCCGACGTCAAGCCATGCTACGTCATGAAGACATCCCAAAGCTTCGAAACGTGTGAGGTCATTATAACACGATATGATCAAGTAATAATTTTTTCCATCACTTTTGCTGACGCCGACAGTCAGTTTTCGCGTTGTATGAGGCATCTAAGGTTTTATAAAGACAATGACAGGAAGCCTTATTACCTTGCACTAGGAGAGGAGAATACGGATCTACACGCCCAAGGCGCGAGTAAGCGGAAAGTGAGATAGAGACTCACCGTCGACGCAGTTGCTTTCCAGGTACTCGCTGGTCTCTGCCGCGGGCACGAAGTACCGATCCCCGACCACCGAGTGACGGTCCATGTCGCTGATGGCGCACTCTCCGGACGACGGGTCGAAGTTGGCCGAGCGGCACTGGAACTCGGTCTCGTCCAGGCACAGGTCCATGCACTCCTCCCGAGCCACGGCGTGGAGACGCTTTCTCGCCAAGTCACGCAAGGCGTAGCCCGTGACGCGCTCGAAGGCCCAGTCGCGATTGCAGCGACGTTTTCCTGCACAAACGCGATTGCGCAGACGATAAGATACTATTCCACACACTTATAGAAGAGGTAGAGTGGGCAAGCCACTTCAAGCATTCCAAGTAGCTTCAAGTAAGCTAAGGGTACTGTGAGTTACACTGAACTGTACAAGCGTGCTGTTGGAAGAACGCAAGGTATGGGCGTTGTCAAGAGGGTACAAGAGGGTCACTTGCCGCAAAGACAGAATCCTGTTGACGTCTACGGTGTTAGGAACATATGCTACCAACTACGCATTTAAGGGTGGAAACTTATTAAATAGGGTGTAATTGGTGTATCCAATGCATCAAGGCCCGTAGCAAGGAATATTTTTCGGGGGGCTGTGGTGGGGGACATTCGTGAAAGGCCTCGAAAAACATTTATTTTAACTACTTGTCCTTGCAGAAACACCCCCTTCATCCGTATTTCGGGGGGTTGGGGGATGCGCCTCTAGGGCGCCTTTTCTGGCTACAAGCCTGCCACATACGTCGCACTGTCTTACTTTTTCTTTGCCGCACACACAATACGCAGGGGCGCCTGCGATGTACCGAAGTAGTATATCTTGTTCAAGGATGGGTGCACCGAACGCCATGCCCATGAAAACACCCACGCACGTTTGTTGAGCTCTTTGTCGAAGACATAAGTGCTATTCGTAGAGAAGTTACGTAAAATCCGCACGAGCTTATTCGACATTGGTGAATTAACCACATCCATGCAGGGATTGCTTACCCGAAATGGTTTAGCAGCTCTTAGCATGGTCATAAACATCTCATTATTATATCTGATTTCTTTCTCTGTTCATTAAGACTTCCTCCACTTTAACTGATCGCATGAATAGTGGACCGACTATTATAGGCTTATCCTCTTACAAACGCTATACTCCAACTAAAGTTGTACTGTCCACTGTCCGGTATAGCGACAACGCCCGAGATACACTAAAAGTTAGTAAAACTTGGAGCTCGCACGCATTGTTTATTGTTGCACGATCTTATATAACAAAGCCGGACGCTTCCTGCTTTTGAGGCACAGGGACCAGCTTACCCAAGAAATTATCGAAGCCGAAAAAATACACTTGCTAGGAGATAAATGTGTAAGCACATCATCGATTGCTTTACCCAGGCTGAACGTGATTACCTGGCTGGGCTTTGAGGCAATAGAGGACTCGTCACACGTGTTTTGTTACTGATGTGTAGATTAGGCTTGCATTTTACCTTCATGCTCTGATATCATCCTTTTTAGCAGTACATATATGCTTGCCACTCTGCGAAATAATGTTAGTTGGAAGTCAGCGCTCTTTCTGTCTACCCTGTCCTTTTTCCTTTGTTTGCGCGCTGAAACATCTTGCAAATATGACTACGCGCCAACTAGCCCAAGCTTCCACTCTGCTTTTGAGGGCTGGACTGCTTCATGAGAGGACAGTGAACTTCTTGCGAAGATTGATTTCGGAAAGGTTGAACGTACCCTCCCCCCCTCCTCAAGGAAAAAAGAAGGAGACTGCCTCGTAACAGTTTCGAAACGATCCACTAACCCGGCTCTCCAGACCACACGACTCTTACAAACCTCCCAGCAGCCTTCATGCAAGCACCCCAACTTGCCTTAATAACCGAGGTTCTTTCACCGGCCGGAAAAAAAAAAACTACAAAGGTCTATAGTAAGCAGACGCCTTCGATATAAAAGCCTCAGAGTTCCCCTACAAAAGCCATTCACACCTGCAATCACGATGAGCGGCCGCCTTTCTCGCGCGAGCCTTCGGGCGAAATGATGACGAAAGACCCTGCATATGAGAAGGTCTCACGGATTGGAGCGTCTACCGCCGATGACGAAATTGAATAAAAAAAAAAGTCTTGTTGCCGCGGGGTTAGCGTGCCATGGTCGGGTAACTTTTCTGTACACGCTGGGATGAAAAGTGGAGGCTGGGATGAAAAGAGGAGGCATCTCCACGCAGGGGGTCTCCGCGGGCTCACTTTCCGAGGTTGAGGAGAGCTTGCGCCTAAGCCTAACTTCATTCGTGAGCGCATTCCAGTGAAACGACTTGTTGCCGCTACTAATCAATCGCAATATGGCCTGTTGTTAAGCCGAGAGAAGAGACCCCCCATCTCAAACTTTTTTTTGGGGGGGGGGAGCTCTTAGCGACCCGTATGCGTTCACTTTTCGCGATCGCCAACACGGTGGCAGCACTGGCTACTAATAAACGTTAAGCGAGTTGGAGTCAGCTCCTTTTATAAGCGACTTTTGAAAGGGGGAAAATGGAGAAATAAGCACTGTTCCATGCATGCTTTTCTCTTAATGGAAGGCACCTCCACAGTTCTGCGCAAGGGATGGGAGTAAGGGGGGGGGATTAAAAAGAATAGGGAGGAATTAAAGCTATAGAGATAGAGAGAGGAGCAGGAAAAGAGAGAGGCGCAGGGACAGCCACATACGGAAGTAAGCATTGGCTATAAGCATAAGCATGTGCAGGTTCTGCTAGGAGGGGGGGGGGGGCACGTTTATCGCAGCTTTACCTCTTGCTTTTAAGTCGATGTATGGGGAAGGCATTGCGCCCCCCCTCCCTTCATGACTTGAAGGGACGGCCACTCCACTCCATGCTTCTACTACTACTACTACTACTACTACTACTACTACTACTACTACTACTACTACTACTACTACTACTACAACTACTACTACTACTACTACTACTACTACAACAACAACTACTACTACTACTACTACTACTACTACTACTACTACTACTACTACTACTATTCCCCAGTGCTGTTACCATAGGCGTGCGCCTATGGTGGGGGGGGGGGAGGGAGTCTCTCCGATTGAAGACCTTCCTGCACCGATGCACGCGCCTGTGACTTACTACTGGTATGCTACTGTTCCGACCACGTATACCACTGCTGCTACTTCTACCGTTACCGCTACAACTTGTACAGTTTAAAATCGGTCAGCGCTAATAGGGCGACACGTGATCACAGAGCTGTCGAGGTGCACTAAGACGCCTCGAAACTATTGCCGCTGCCTCGGAACTCACCGAACAGGCATATCTTCTGCGCGTAGAGAGTGAACACGGGAAACTGCGAGACGGCCAACGAGGCCGGTCGCTCGGTGGCGCTCGAGGTGAAGAGCACGCACAGGCCAGTCTCGAAGTTCACCGACTGGCACGACGCGTTGCGGCGACAGTGGTCCAGACAGTCGGTCAGCTGCAGCGTGCCGGGTTTCAGCTCGATCGTGTCCGACGGAGCGCTGTACACGTATCCGGTGACGAGCTCGAACGTCAGTCGGCCATTGGGGCAACCACCGCCCAATGCTGCGTGAGAGCACAAGAGTAACATGATGAGCACCATGATGAGAGAGTTAAATGTCGGTGGCTTCGATCCCCACCAGTGGCAAATTGTTTCTTCTCGTTCACTTTGATTGATTTCCCTCAATCTTTTTTTACACCGCATGCGATTAAACGTTGCAATATACGAATTACTTCAGGAACGAAATTGGACTGTCCGACTCGGCATTTCGTGCACAATGTAACGTCGTTGAAGACATCAGTCATGTCATCTGTGAGTGCACCATATACGCATCAGAAAGACAGTCCCCGAATATGGCCTTAAAAATACACCGGGACACAAACTCGAAGTTGAAAAATACTCTAGGCCCATGGCAGAACAGCTCCAGTGCGTTACACTCCACAAAAGCGCTACTGACATTCTTACGGGCCACAGGCTTGAACTAAACGTTGTAAATAATGCAGTGCGTGTGAGTGACTGTATGTGTTATGTGACTGTTATGCATGCATGTAACTGTATGTGTTGTGTGCTTATCATTGTATATATCATCGTAATTACCCGGTACCTGGAGTAGCCTATCAGGTGAAGAACCAGGCAAACCTCTCCAACTCCCCATTAAAACAATTCTCTCTCTCTCTCTCTCTCTCTCTCTCTCTCTCTCTCTCTCTCAATCTTACAAATAGAACACTGCAATCGATAACTATAAATAATGCTTCGATCATGCGCTTTTTTATTAGTTTGTCATTTAATAAAGTTCCCGAAGACGATGCGTGAAGCTTGCCAGCATGTACAAGAAACTGTCGTCATAATAAAACTGGGCCGCATATTCACAAAACGTTCTCATGACTCCGAGTGAGTCCGGCCTGAAGAAAACAATTTAGTGAATGTGAGTCCGGGTGAGCCCGGCTCGGGAGAACATTATGTGCCGTAGACTGGCCCGATCGCTGACCATTCTGTGTTGGGTTCCGTTAGTGTACGTTCGCAGACTGATACAAAGATGACGCGATAGCAGCCAGCGCATCTATATACTGACGAGTGCCTCTTTCTGCAGCGTATCTCAATGTATTCGTCGTTCATGACCACTTGGCTCGTAACTGACCCTCGTGTAATAACCTACAACTAGAAGTTACTAAGGTACTAATAAGCGATCGTTAACAGGTCCGGGTCCATTCTGATGTGAATAGTAAACGTGTGCCTTTGTCGGAAGTAAGAAAGCAATTGACCGGATTCATCCTCTCACAAACATCAACGGAAAGCCTGTCATCTCTACAACTGTGGCTGCCCTCTGGTCTTTCTAGGGAGGAAGGTACAGTGTAGTGCCGTCTGCGTCTGGGCGTAGCCTTCACCAATGCCTACTCATTTAAGATAGGGATGGCCGACAGCGCGGAGTGCCACGACTGCGCCATCGATGAGACTATTGAACGTCTTATGTTACTGCCCGACATACACGAGAGGCTTCACTTGCGCAGTGTTTTAAATCAACTGGACAGAAGTGATTTCACTGTCGAGAAAGTATTGGGACCATGGCACTGCCCATCGAATTTTCCAAAGGTAACGAAAATACTGTTGCATTTTCTCAAAGACACCGGCCTGTTTCATCGTTTGTGATCGTGAAACTGTTACGCGTCGGCCCAATCAGTGACCTTTTCTCTCCTCCTCCATAACATTCCTTCCCCTCTCCCCTTCCCCAGTGCAGGGTAGCCTACCGGGGCTCAGCCCTAATTAACCTCCCGGCATTTCTCCTTATGTTCTCTCTCTTTCTCTCTCTCTCTTTCTCTCTCTCTTTCTCTCTCTCTTTCTCTCTGTCATATACATTGACTGTTGTCGGACGTGCGACCACACAGAAATATGAGAGGGGTAAGAATCGCTCCACCAAGAAGCAAGCCCCGTCGCGGCGGTCTAATGGCTAAGGTACTCTGCTGCTGACCCGCAGGTCGCGGGATCGAATCCCGGCTGCGGCGGCTGCATTTGCGATGGATGCGGAAATGCTGTAGGCCCACGTGCTCAGATTTGGGTGCACGTTAAAGAACCTCCAGGTGGTCGAAATTTCCGGAGCCCTCCACTACGGCGTCTCTCATAATAATATGATGGTTTTAGGACGTTAAACCCCACATATCCATCAATTACCAATAAGCAAACGAAGAAAGAACGTGCAGCCAGGAAATACAATAAGCAAAAATGAGGGGAGCGGGCCGAGGACAGAGTAACATGACAACGGAAGTGTCATGGCGGAGAAAGCGACTACACGGTCAACAACAGCGGGGGAGGGTCCAGAAAAACGCGACACGAGCGCACGTAAGCGTTCCAAAACGGCCTCTTCTTTTTTCGCCATGCCGTCGCCTCCCTGCCGAAACGGGCCTCTCAGCCTTTCGCCTCTATAGTGTCGCAGGAATACCCACCGCGCAATGAAGTGGACACGTCGAGTGCGCGCTCTCGCCCAGAAGCCATGGTGGCGCTGTGTGCTTCTCTCTTTACGACTTCGTCGTGATAGTCGGGTACAACGCACTTCTCGGCGACGCCACAGCGGCTTCCGTTCAGACCTCCTCCTCGTGGAACACAGATGGCGCTGTAACACGCATCGCCGAACACGCGACTCTCCGCTCGTGACTGAAGAGTTGAGACGGTGACTCATTTCACTTAGGCCTAGCGCGAGTACGAGGGATGTGCCGCGGGGCTCGCGCGTCCGAGCGATAGGATCGCGCTTTTGCGAAGCGACGACGCCTTGTTGTTGTTCGGTGGCCTAATGGACTGCCGAGTGTGGCGTTGACCCGATCGAAGAAGTAACAGCCGCACACCGTCGCGAGCATTGTGTTTCGGCTATTGCGTGAGTGTCGGAGCGTTTGATGCCTTACGGCATGAAAAAAAAAAAAAATAATAACGTGTTTGTGTGTGCGTGTTCGCGTTTTGTTCGAGATAGCGTCTCCGCGGGATCGAGATCGGAAGAACGGCGAAGGCAAAAGGTGGAGCGTGCTTGGGCAGCGATTCCAGTCTAAAGCTCTCTCGGGATTTCCAGGCAATGCGACGGAGCAAAGCTTTGCATTGCGGCGACAATGCTAATGGACGCAACACGTTTCTCTCTCTTAGTAACTTCTCTCTCCACGATGCCAAAGCTCGTGTCACTATCGGCCATCCGTGAGACGTGATGGAGTGGTTATAGCGACTGCTGCTATTAACGATAATAACGACACTACTTACTAAGGCACTTGACGTATAAGCTTCTTGTTGGCATGCAGTGTACCCGTAACCACGAAAAGTAGCAATATTTTCAGGTGGGAGTTTAAAACGACTTAGGAAACGCGAAAATTGACTTTTTCGGCCTCAATACGAATGATGCAATCATCATCACTCACGGGATACATCGCGATACGATGTCCCACGACACCACAGATCCCCGACATCCGGAATAGATTTGAGTGCGGATGGACAACACACAAGCAGTGAAGACGGCTGTACCAGCACTCTGTTTCTCTCGTGTGTTGTCTATTGGCGCTAAAATCTATTCCAGAATGAAACCAAAGCGCCCAACAAAGCATTTTATTAAGCTCCGATGTTTGCTGCGTCATCGTGACGCCTTATATCGGGACGACACTTGACGCCACGTGACGAAATGACGTCATCATTTAGTTAAAGGTGAGTTGATCACAGAGGCAGTGCAAACTCTCGTCTCACGACGCAGAACTTCTTTGCACTTGTAATGCCATTTTTTACTGGGTATTTAGGAGCGTTCTGCAATGCTCTCCTGAGAGATAAGGAGGGAGGTTGAGGAGAGGAAAAGACGCAACCTCCCTCTATCTCTCAGGAGAGCGCTCTAGAGCGCTCCGAAACGACCAGTCAAATTCGGCACAGAGATTGACGAACGCGGCAGGCTTTCTTCACTAAGTTCGCATAGACGCTGCATGACCACTGTATCGCACTGACACGGCTTGACGTGGCGTGATCGAAAGGTATATACTGCTTTAAGTGTACCTACGCACATAGTGGGGCACTGAATGCTTACCGCAAGTTACAGCATACGTCTTTGACTCTGAATACAGATGGGAGCCACCTTCGCTTACGCCGATCTAGTTAACAAACAGTGAACGGCATCTACATCCTTGCTATGGCACGCACGAGCGGTTTTCTATAGTTGGCAAGCCCAACCCTGGGTGGGAAACAGGTACGACTAGAGTATAAAGTTGGGCATGTTGGTAAGACATACTTAATCGACGCAGCGCGTTTTGAAACATAATCATAGGAAAAAACAGAAATAAAGTGACAAGGAAGATTATTGAAGCAGAAAGGATCAGTAGATTAGGGCTGGACTGCGTCAGCAATCCTTCTCTCGGTCTTTGTGAAAAATAATTGTCGTTTTTGAGATCATAAGCTTTTAGCGCATGGCGATAGAGGGTTTTTCATCTGTTTGTCTGTTGTTTTCGAATTTCATGAGCATATATATGTACGCTCCTCGAAGTAAAGTTTTGTTGGAAGTAAGCGCTCCCTTCTGTCCCTTCCCTTGTCCTATGTTTCAAAACGCGCTACGCCGATTAAGGTTCGACTACTTTCCATTAGATAACGTTAGCTGTGTGGTGCAAGATGCAATCGTGTAGTGGAAAACAGTGGTATATAACTGCGAGAACCTAGCGGTAGAGATTTGCAGAATATGCTTGGATGATTGCGCGTGTGTGTTTGCTACCGCAGTGCAAGTATTTTCGATTGCGATGGTATTCACACTAACAATTCTAAAAAAAAAATGTTGGTTGGCAGGAGTGTTCTCGATACGTCGGGAGAGGGCGTAGCATTGCGGGGCCGCGAGGGGGCGTCATGTCACTTGAGTTCATCAAGCCGCGGCCGTGCGTCTGATCAAAAGGCGACACGTCATTTTTCGAGCTTCCGCCGTAGTGTGGAAAAAAAGAGAGAGCGTGAAGAAGAGAAATAATAATAAAAAAAGATTTATTCTATGCATTCCCTTCCTGGCTCAACGCTCGAGCGTATTCAGAAAAAGGAACCGACGCGCGCTCTGGCGGCGGAAACGAGCGAAGCGTCACGA